CCTACTGCTCTCAGCCAATCTCTTTGCCATAGCGTCCTCGTGTTCCGCCAACCCCCCCTTCACCACTGCCAATTCCCCCTTCACCACTACCAAGTCCCCTTTAAACGCTGCCAACTCCCTATTCACTGTTGTCAACATGTGCCGCAGCTCATCCACCTCCTCCTTACGTGCAGCCAGCTCCTCTCTCACTGCTGCAAGCACCGCCTCTTTGATCGACTCATTTAGTCCACTCGTCACCCTCTCAGCCATTTTATCCACTCACTCCCCTCAAACAGCCCTCGTTCAAAGACTGATCTGTACGTCCAACTGCCGTTTTCACCGCAGACTGGAGAAAGCAGACGAGCCTACATGGTGCGCACAACAGAAAAAAGGGAGAAGAGGCATGGTCAGTGCGCACACGAACAAGACCAATAACACGGGTGGGAGGGATGAGAGTGTTAGAGACTAAGGACGGAGTCTATGAAGATTAGGTGCCTAAATTTCTCAAAATCGTTGGTCCCTATTTCTGGACAGAAAAGTCGAGTTCACAAGAAACGCCGTCGACGAAACGTGCACAGTCAAAACTTCACTAAACTCATGTATGTTGTAGACCTACTCCGTGGCTACAATTACCAAGTTGAAACGTGTGAAGTAAGTCTCGACTTATCAATTTCGGCGCACAGTGGGGTATGCTGCCATAAGAACTTAACTCAATCACAAAGTTCACACAAGTTTACACAAGAGAATTGGAGTCACACTAAACCAGGTGGAAGGGATGAGGACGAGAGGGAAGGTCCCAAGAGAGTCCCCAACCAAGGAAACCCCATGCCATTCAATTCTCTTCCCCATAGACAACCCAACTTTGACCTTTGTCATTATCTCAACCTCCACAATCCACCTCAAGCCACCTTGGCCACACTTGCCAACCTGGTTTGGTTTCACCCAACCATTTGGCAACAACTACAGTAGAAAAGACGAATTTCCCAACCCCCAAAAGTCTGTAACCCTTATGGAGTCAACCCCACAACTTCCCATAGTCACCACAACCAAATATCAAAAGCATACGAACTTCCAACATTCGTAACTTTCTTGTTCGTGCTCCGATTGAAGCGATACCTGGTTCGTCGGAAAGCTCTTGAGCACAGGAGTCACTTCAGATATCTGCTCAAGTCAAATAAAAATCACACACACTCAGAAAATCCAAACCACATCAAACACAAATTCTTGCACACGCTCACACCAAGCATGCAACGCACGAACATGTGATGGGAGGCAGACATACGTGAATGCAAATGATAGCATCACATAACAGAGAGCAACAAAAAATGGAGACCAGGCTGGCACACAGAGGGTTGGTGCAGAGGGCTGGTACATAGACACTTGCCCCAGAACTTGAGTTTAACACAAGTGGGTGAGGAGGGTTGAGAAAAGTGGAGGTCGAACCAACAGCACTTGGCCAAAGCAGATTCCGGGAGGAGAATTTGAAGCATGATAGGATGCTGCATGAGGATGCGGAGTCGCAATGACGAGAAGGCGAAGGGTTTTGCTCAGCCTGACATGAAACATGCAATTGTGGCCCTGATAGCTCTTCTCCTTACCACAGTCAGGCAGGAGAAGGACACAAAGAGGGGATCTGAAAGTAGAGGGCAAGAGATGACAAAATAGGTAGTGAATGTCATATACATAGCACAGTGCGGCCTTGGCCACTCACGGGCTAGGGCATTGTAGGCTAGGTCGGTCACAATCTAAGACAGTTGAAGTAAGGTTACTACTTGACAACTAGGTCCAGGCTAGCTCCCTCACAAGCTAGGTCAGTCAGGGCCGATGCTGAGACAGATGCTATTACCGCCTCACGACAAGAACCTGGGGAAGAAGTAGGTCACAGGCTAGGTCAGCCACATCACATGCTATGTACGTCGAGTCTCACGCATGCAAGGTATTGTTGGCGGGGTCACAAATAGGCTATGTCAATCATCAACGTGAGGCTAGGACAGCCACAGGGTAGGTCGCTCACAGGAACTCATTCACAGGCTAGGTGAGTCACAGCTAGGTCGTCAGACTGTCAGGCAAGACCTATCACGGGCCACGTTAGTCAAAGGACAGTCAGCTAAGTGAATCATAGGCTACGTTGCTCACACCCTAGGTGGTCAATCACAGGCAAGGTTATTCACAGGGCAAGCAGTCACAGTATAGGACATCTATATGTAAGGCTAGACACAGGTTAGGTAGGTCAGTCACGAGCTATGTAAAGCGCGTGTTTGGTCACTTACAGAGGAGGTAAGTTGGAGCATCGCACAGTCAAAGGCTAAGTCAGACCACAAGCTAAGTCAATCAGAGAGGCCAGGTCACTAACATGATCGATGAGTCACAAGTCGAGTTGAGGCAGCCACAAGGTAGGGTCAGAGTTAAGTCCATGAGAGGTTAGGTCATGTGCAAGTTTGGTCAGGCACTGGCTAAATTAGTCACAGGCTAGGTCACTCATAGCCTTCAGCGGGGACCAGCTTGGAAATACACATTACACTGCGCAAAATATCATAGGCTGGCTAAGAAAAAGTTGTTTTCTTCCTCTAGAATATAGAAAAAAGAAACATAACACTCCAAATTCAGATCGATAACTTCCCGCAAATCATTGACCATCCTCAAGCACGCCTTACTGCATTTTCCTACTCGGCAAGTCCACACACTTCGCTGCACTCACTTTCTCGCACAATCTGTACAACAACTAAAACTTAGGGCGTGTCACCACCTAATCCTGTTGCACGTGCGAACAGGGCGACGGGTTTCCAACCTCGCTTCACCTCGTAAGCGTGTTCGCTGTTCTTACGAGCTCACCGAAGCATGTTCGAAATCTTTAAGGAAGTTGGATACCTGTTTGAACGTGCGACAATTTTGAAGTTGGAGGTGATACGTCTTATATTCGTGAGAGGTCAGTCAGAGGCAAAGTCCCTCATAACGTCAGTCAGAGCCTATGATAGTGAGAGGCTAGGTGGTCATAGGCTAGGTAAGCCACAAGCTGAGTCCCTCACGAATAGGTCAGTCGTACAAAGCTGGTCAAAACAGTGTTAGGCCCGTCATGAGCAATCACCCAGAGGCTGGGACAGTCATTTCGTTCACAGGCTAAGTGGTCAGAGCTTGGCCGAGGGGCAGCGTGGCTACTGAACCAACGCGAGGGAAAGCAGCACTACGCCAAGCCAACATGAATCAAGGGGTACTGCGGGGTGCGATGAATTTGTAAGCGACTCGGTATGTTACTAGAATTTGCGCATTCGGCTCTGCCACAACTACGAGCACCAGGATTCGTAATTTGTGATGCTTACAATGCGGAAGACCGAGACCAGGAACAGAAAAGCGAGGCTCAGGAGTCGAAGCAGAATCGTACCGTATTTAGGGTTTCTTAGGCTATCGCGTTTCCGCGCGGCTCTCGGAGTCCGCCAAGCTTTAGTGAGTGCTGCGAGAGGCGAGGCTGGCGATTTCAAAAAGTGCAAGAGAATGGGAGACAGACGAGGAGCGGAAAAGAGAGAGCCGCGCCGAGAGGACAGGACTCGAGCGGCAACGAGTGACTGTTAGGGTTGGTTCGCCCAACCACGGAACCTAAGGCGAACGCATCTACGACGGCGAAATGGAAGCGCGTGTGTGAAACGGTGGAAATCGGCCTACGGTGGGGAATAGAGGCTACGACGTGAGAAGCGGGAGAGAAATCGAGAAGAAATGTGCTAGGAGGAGGGAGAGAGAAGGAGAAGCATCGAGACTGAGATTGACGAGGGGAAAAATGTGCTTCGAGACCAAGGCGCGTTCGAGAAAGTTCGGGATTCGGACTTGCGGAGTGTTCACCGAATTCGGTTCGGTTGCGTGTGCGACTAGGGGTGAAACGAGGCGCACGCGGTTACTTGGGAAACAAGTGAAGTTACGAATCGCATTTTGTGTCTTGCTTGACTATAAACCTGTTTGTACTCATTCTGGAAATACAACATTGATACCAATCAGATTTTGAAAATTTCTGAAGTGTGTATTGACCACTTCAAGAAGAGCTGCGCATATTATTGGATTCGGGAGATCGTGGAGAACACAATAGGCGATAGCAATAGCAAGTAGACTATTGCCTAATGATGGGGAAATGCCTTTTCTACTATGACGTCAGTCGAGTCGCGTCACGATACGCTGCTTGGCAGAAGGCGGGTAATTTTAAGAATTAGGTCAGGACGAACCGAAGATGTAATTGAAGTTGAGATCGGCACGACCCTGTTTCTCGAAACTCCAGTAGCAAGATTGAGGTTGCTTGAAACAAGAAACCGAACCTTTTGTTGCAACTGTAACAATCACGACTCCCGCCCAAATGTTTCGCGAAATTCCTACAAAGTCGGCAGTTGCGAACACCTGAAACACGTTTCGCCACCGCTCCCAATCACGAACTTCCCACAAACAAAGAGGGGGCGAGTCGACTCGAACTAGACATACGGTAACCATTTTGAGCAGATCTTTCAGGGGTCGAACACATTGAGCAAACCAGGTTAGGAATGCCTCCTAGGTGCCGAATCTCCAATGTTCGTCTACTATATCCAAACGACATGCAGTTTGGCTAAGCATCGCATTTAGTCCATTCGATGACGACCAGGTAGACAGAACTGCGCGAAACGCGGAATCCACCTCTCTTCGTGTAACGTTACACCTTTCCACCCTTCCCCATTTCGACCATGGCATCCCAATGACGTCGGCCAAGTCACCCGCGGAGCAGCTGCCAGGTCCTCCCATTGCACCTCGCCTCGCAGCGCTTTCGTGAGAATCATTCGGTAACCTAGCTGCCGTGCGCGCCCTGCCCAGGCGTTGGTCCTAACAGGTATTTAAGCTGCGTCCATTCGAATAATACAGTCCAGTCGTTTCAATTGAATGCTGCGCGGATTTAGTCCACAGCGCCGTTCGTGCTGGCCTTGCAATCACTCGACAACCTAACGCTTAGCTCGGAAATCTGAAGAATTAAGTAAGGTTACCGTATGACTCTCTCGAATCCGCCAAGCCTTGGCGTCATGCAGAACGCTCGGCAGATTGAGAGCTGCACTGGTGGGGTTACCACTGGAGCTGGTGGGGTTACCAGTGGAGCTGGTTCAGAACGGCCACATGTGTGTGACATGCCGGGTGCGGCTCTGCTGGACAGAGCTGCGATGAGAGATGCTACTGGAGGGGATGTGCTGGCAGATGCGGTAGCCGGCGGGCAGAGGCAACGGCAGGGAATGGGGGGTGCTGACAGGGGTAGAGAAGAAGGGAACGCTGAAGGCTGTGAGGGGAGGGGTGGAAGAGAGGTGGGTAGGAGAGGGGGTGCTGTGCGAGGAGGCGGCATTGTGAGAGGGGGTTCAGTGAGAGGGGGTTCAGTGAGAGCAGGTGGTGAGAGAGAAGTTGGGGAGATAAATGGTTGTGGGAAGGATAATTTGTTAATGAGAAGGGGGGGGGGAAAGTGCGGTGCAAGTGGCGAGCAGGCGTGGTGTGAGTGGGCGGTTACAAAGCGGCGGGCTGTTGGAGATGTTTGGCGTGGCGGAGGTGGTGCCGCCTTCCAGCACTGAGGTGACTGAAGATGGGAGTAGCGAGGAGGACGGGGAGGAGGATGTGGTGGAGGTGGAGGTGGTGGGGGAGGAAGAGAATGGAGAGGAAGAGGAAGAGGAAAAGGAGGAGGGGGAGGAAGAAAAGAAGAAGGAAGAGGAAGGTGAAGTGGGAGGGGAGAAGGTCAAAGGGGATGTGAGGGGAGGGGGAAGAGATCGAAGGAAGGGGGGCGATAGAGATGAAAGTGGGTGCAGGAGTGGTGTGGTAAGGGGGGTGAAGGGCGGAAGTACGGAGAGGGAGCGGGCGATGCAGGAGGCGCAGAGGGCATGGGGGATTTGGGAAGAGATGCGACGACAGCAGCCCCAGCAGCCCCGGCAGCAGCAGCGCACCACATTTCTGCAAGCACGGGCTGCACTGGCACGTACAGCAGCACCTGCTGCCATCGCTCAGAGCTTGCAGGAGTTCAGACCGAGGACACAACAACCCACGGCTCTCCGTGCTGCACCCTCCGCATCCCTCTCCACCCCTGTGTCCTCACCTGTGCCGCTTGTTCTTCCCGTGCCCCTCGCTTCCCCCCCGCCTCCTGCTCCTCCTGCTCCTCCTGCCTCTCCTGCTGCTTCTGCTCCTCCTCCTCCTGCTGCTTCTGCTACTGTTGCAGCTTCTCCCATTGCTCATCCAGTCGCTCCTGCTGCTGGTACTCGTGCTGCTTCTCCTCCTTCTCCCCCTCCTGCTGTCGCCCCACGGGCTGCCACCCCTCCTCCTCCTGCACCACCAGCCCAGAACCGCACGAGGGCAGCCGCGCTGCTGGCAGCAGCACAGAGGAAGTGGCTGGCGGAGTGCCGGGCGCGGTTTGCGGCGTTTGAGTTTCCAGCGGCATGCACGGACAGAGTGACGGTGCAGTGGGAGGATGTGGAGCGATTGAAGCCAGAGCAGTTTCTCAATGACACCCTCATTGACTTCTTTCTCAAGTGAGTGCCGCTCCGCTCACAATGACTTTCGAGCTGACTCAAAATGTTGAGGCGTTTGTGTTTCGGGCGACGGGCACGGCCAGCGTGAGTGTGCGGTGGGAAGACGTGGAGCGGCTGAGACCAGAGAGGAGTTTCTCAACGACACCCTCTCCATGAGGGTGGTGGGGTTGCTGAGACTAGAGGAGATCTTCAATTCTACGATGCTCGCATTGACAATTATCGGAGGTGAGCTGGATGGTATAATGGGATATTAAAGAGAAGTCATATGAGCGAGCGGCGCTCTATGTCTAGGCATGACCAGGCAGTCGAACCTCACCTGGCCTGGCCTGGTTCAATCGTTTCCTTTTCAGATCAGCCCGGACCTTCTTTTGTGCCTATTTTGTGCCTGTGAACATTTCATAAAGTCACATCTTTCCCTCTGCCTGCCTACTCGCAGGCATCTGAAGGTGCAGGCGTTGGAGCAGGGCCGCATCGCCTGCTCCCTTGCTGGGCCCGACCAATCACTGCCTCCACCACCACTGCCCCCAGCAGCAGCAGCAGCAGCAGCAGCATCAGCAGGTTGTGGGAAGGCAGGTGGTGGCAGGCAGGCAGGTGGGGCGAGGCAGCCGCCCCCTAGAGTGCATTTCTTCAACAGCTTCTTCTTCAAGATGCTCATCGGCGGGGAGAAGGACGACCCCTTCCCTCCCACCCGCGCTGCTGCTGCTGCTGCCACCCGCGCCAGTGCTGATGCTGCCGCTGCAGTGGCAGAGGCAGCGAGGGAAGGAAGTGGGGGGGAGGAGGGGAAGGCGGCGCACTGGCGGGTGCACAAGTGGACCAAGGGGGTCAACCTCTTCGCCTGTGACTTTGTCTTCATCCCTGTCAACCTCAGGTGGGTCCGTTTGTTTCGCTGTTATGTTCAGACGCATTGATGCATCATGCCTTGTGTGGGGCCACACCTATACGCTCCCGGCCATGCATACTGTTGTTCAAAGCAAAGCAAACCATGCGGAACAAAGCGTTTTTTCTACTTCGATCAACTGATAAGTTTCCACGCTATCATGCTCTGCTCTGTCTTACCCGCGCCATTCTCCTTTGCAGCTACCACTGGAGTCGTCTGGTCATCTGCCATCCCAACAAGATTCTTCCACTCCAACCACTGGCATCAACAGCAGCAGAAGCAGCAGCAGCAGCAGCAGCAGCAGCAGCAGCAGCAGCAGCAGCAGCAGCAGCAGAAGCAGCAGCAGCGCCACAACCGAAACCATCGAGACCTGAGTCACAGGCACAACCAGCAGCACCTCTGTTGCCAGTCGCTGCAGCAGCAGCAGCCTCAGCATCCGCCGCAGCATCTGTAGCAGCTGCTGTAGCGTCCTTGCCTTGCCTCCCTAGCCCGGTTGCGCCCAACATGCACGAGCCGGCTGTTCCCACACCCCCCGTGCACGAGGCAGCGCCGTGCATTTTGCACTTTGACTCGCTGCCCGGGCTGCACCGGGATGTGGAGGAGGCTGTGCGCACGTGAGTTGGAGGGGTTGTGGGGGGGGTTTGTGGGCCTGGGGTGGAGTTCATGGGGTGGGTTGCAACGCTAGGCCCGTCTTCCTGCGCCGTGCTGCTCGGGCTGCACCTGCACGTGGAGGAGGCTGTGCGCACGTGAGTTGTGTGTTGGGGGGGGGGGGAAGGTCCCGGGAAGTGTTGTCTGATGGGAGAAGGGTTGCGGTGGGGTGAACGGGTGATGGTGAGAGGCGGGGTTGGGGCAGGGAAGTGGGGAGGCGGTAGAGGTGGTTGGATTGGGCTCGTCTGCCCGCTGCATGCATTCTGCTCTGTGCTTTGACAGTTGACTTGCTGCTTGCTCCCACGGCTGCATGTGGATGTGCCTCTGTGACAATGTGGTTCGTGCAAAGAAAGGAGGGATTAGGACCGAGCAAAGGAAGAGGGGATGATGAAGGACAGAGGTTGGGGTTAGTTGAGGTGGGTGAGTGCACGGCTCTGTGTGCCTCAAGGCGCTGAGCTAAGTTGACTTGATGCATTCTACTCACTGCACCCGTCACCACCACCGTGCGTCCCCTCACCTTCCCACTGCCACCACCAAGTACCTCCAGGAGGAGTACCTCATGCGTCACAAGGCGCTGAGCTAAGGTGACTTGATACATTCTACTCATTGCACCTCTCACCACCGTCCCCCACCACCACCCACCACCAGGTACCTCCAGGAGGAGTACCTCGTGCGCCCGAGGCAGGCGGAGGAAGGCGTTCCTGAGCGCAGGCGAGGAGTTGTGTGGCGAGCAGGTAAGCATGTGGCAGTGCAGACACTGAGCGCAGGCATATTGTCGGCGGCGAATTGTGGCTTCTCTTTAGGCGCTGCAGGGATCATCTCTCTACACGAAGCCTTGCTACTGAGAATGCCTGTTTGGCTGGGTGTGAGTGTTCTGCTGACATTGCTGCTTGATGGTTGGTTAGGACTCCATGGTGCAGTGTGGGCCGGCATCTCTCAGGTCTTCAACTCCTTCCTCTTCAACTCCTTCCTCTTCAACTCCTTCCTCTTCAACTCCTTCCTCTTCAACTCCTTCCTCTTCAGCTCCTTCCTCTTCAACTCCTTCGTCTTCAACTCCTTCCTCTTCAACTTCTTCACTCTGCCTGCACGTGCATGCACCCTTCCATTGTCACCCGTTTTGCACCTTCCGTGCTCACACCCAACCAGTTCTCCCATACCAGTCCCTTCCAGCCGACCCCAGTGAGTCACTAGACCTGCTTCCACTCTTCCTCATCCCACTTTTCTCTTTTCTCCTCCTTCCCCTCCCCCCCCACCCTTCCCCCCCCAGCTGTCCTTCCTCTAGTTCACGCTCGACTCAGCCAAGGATATGCGAGCTGCCATCCAGCGCACGGTGCTCCTGCGGCTGCTTTTTCACGTTGTGCCCCATCTTTACTCTCTTTGTTTCTCTCTCCTCTGCTCCCCTCCCCTCCCATCCCCCCCAGCTGTCCTTTCCGTTGCTGACGCCCGACTCAGCCACGCCCATGCGGGCCGCCATCCGCCGCACCGTGCTGCTGCGAGCTGGGCTGGCAGATCTGGTGGCGTGCGCACCCCAGCGCGAGGAGGCCGTGGTGAAAAAAGAGGAGGGGGAGAGGGACGGGTTGAGGGAGAGGCAAAGGGATGGAGGGGAGAAGGAGAAGGAGAGGGAGAGGGAAGGAAGAAAGGAGGAGGGGAGGGGGTGTGGGGTGGGGCGAGAGGGAGGCATCGTAGGGCTGTTGGCGAGGGAGATTCGCAGTGTGGAGGGAGAAGGGGGGAGAGGGAGGGTGCGGATGGGAGTGTGGCTAGACAGGAAGAGAGACGGAGAAAGGGAACGCACGATCAAGATCAGGCGCAACAGCGGGAGCAGCAGCAGGAGCAGAATCGGCGCGTGACTCAAAGTCGCAGTTTGCATGCAATCATGTCGAGCCAAGAGGGAGGCACATCGGTCATTCTGCTGCCTCATGCTGGTGGGGGGGTGGCACCGAAGGAGAGCAGGAGCGGTGGGAAGAGAGAGAGGTGCTTGAAAGAGGTGCCTCCTGGTGGGAAGGAGGAGGAGGGGGAAGAGGGGGATGTGGTGGAGGTGACAGCTGTGGGGAAGAGGAGGCGGGTGAGATTGGCGGGGAGTGGCGCACAGGGGTGGGCGGATGGTAGTGGGGAAGACAAGAGGGAAGGACAGAGGGGACAGGTTTCTCGGAGCTGGTTGTCGGATGAGGTTGATATGGCGGAGGCGAGACGACGGCAGGGAGGAGAGGAAGAGAAGGAGGATGGGCGAATGGAAGAGGTGGGGTTGAAGGGTGGTGAGCAGGTGCGGGTGCCAAGGGGATGCGGAAGAGAGGAGGAGATGGGGGAGGAGGGAGGACAGCAAGGGACAGGCGAGGCGCAGGGAGAGAGCGGCAGATGTAAGGAGTCGTATTGGGTTCGAGGTGATGCAGGTCATGAGGTGGCATGCGGAGAGCATGAGCTGGCACGTGAAGGGCATGTGTTGATGAGTGATTCACCCAACGATGATGATGACACTGCTGCTGCTCTTCGTGCTCTTCCTCATCCTCCGCCTCCTCCTGTTGCCACTGCTTCGGCTGCTGCTGCTGCTGCTGCTGCTGAAGATGACAATGATGATAATGGCGTTGCTGTTAGCAAGGCGTGTGGTGGCACCGGTGTTATTGCTTACAAGCGACGTAGTGGGCTGGGGAATGAACACGCTGTTGTAGCAAGGAAGCCTGGTGAGGGTGGGAAGGCATGTGGTGGTGGTGGTGTGGCTGCTACTGCTGCGACTGCTAGTGACGATGACAATGATGGTAGTGGCGCTGCTGCTGGCAAGGCGTGTGGTGGCACCGCTGTTATTGCTTACAAGCGGCGCCGTGGGCAGGGGGGAAAGCACGCAGCTGCCAGCGACGGTGGTTATGCTGGAGCAAGCAATGGCAAGACATGTGGCATGAGAGACGGGACGAGAGAAGGGACAAGAGGTAGGAGGAGAGAAGGAAAACGGTTGAAGATTGATCAGGTGGCACATCAAGCAGGAAGGGAGGAAGAGGAACCAGAGGGGCAGAAGCAAGGGGAAGAGGCGAGAGAACGAGGGAAACGAGAGAAAAGAGGTTCTTGGGGAAAGTGAGGGCGGGCAAGGGGTTGGGGGGGCTGTGTGGGAGCAGTGAGGCTGGCAAGTGGGCTGATGCAGCTGCAGTTTGCATCAGCGACTCTCCTGAGGAGCAGGCGTAGGAGGAGGAGGGGAAGGAGGAGGAGGAGGAGGAGGAGGAGGAGGAGGAGGAGGAGGAGGAGGAGGAGGAGGAGGAGGAGGAGGAGGAGGAGGAGGAGGAGGAGGAGGAGGAGCAGGAGAAGGGAAAGGAGGAGGGGAAGGAGGAGGAGCAGGAGGAAGAGGAGGAGGGGAAGGAGGAGGAGGAGGGGGAGGAGGAACAGGAGCAGGAGGAGGGAAAGGAGGAGGGGAAGGAGGAGGAGTAGGAGGAAGGGAGGTGGGGAAGGAGCAGGAGGAGGAGGAGGAGGAGGAGGAGGAGGAGGAGGAGGAGGAGGAGGAGGAGGAGGAGGAGGAGGAGGAGGAGGAGGAGGAGGAGGAGGAGGAGGAGGAGGAGGAGAAGGTAAGGTGGAAGGGAAGGAGGATGAGGCGCCCAGCAATCTTCCACTCCCCCTCCCTCGCTCGCTCAGCAGTGTGTTCCGACCTTCCTTCATCTCCCCGCACACTCCCTTTCCCTGACACGCCAACAGCACTCGCCGTTGGACCACTGGCAAGGATCCCAACCCATCTCTGCAACCCACCAGCCGGGCAGCATAGCAGAGCCACGGGCTGCTGCTGCAGCAGCAGTGGTGGCGGTGACGTGAGTGAGCATTGAGTGGAATGGGGCCAGCATCACGTGCAAGGGAGCACCAGCACTTCCACAGCCACAACCTGCTGCTGCAGCAGCAGCAACACTGGTGAATACAGCCAGCACTGAGTGGAAGGAGGCGGGCAGGAGGGAGGTTCGCCAAAGCATGTGTGGTTGAAGCAGTAGACGTTTGGCCACCATGATGGTGGGTGGGAGGGGAGAGAGGGGAAGCAGCACAAGGAGCTGACCACCCCACAAACCCCTTTCTGGGTGGCATATGACATCGTGACAGGTGAGGCAAGCTAGCCACCCCACATCACCCCCCACTCTCCCCCCTCTTCTTCCCCCCTTCCATCCCATCTCCTTTCGTGTCCCTCCCATCTGGCATCCTTTTCTTCCACTCCCTCCTGTCATCTCCCTTGTCGCCACCCTTTCTTTCCTTTCCTCCCTCACTTATTCCCTTCCCTACTTTCTCGTCCTCATACCCAACATCCTTCGCACCCCATTCAGCTCTTCCAACGCCTGCCAGCTTTCAGCATCTTTATCGTACGATCCCATTGTACCATCTCATCCTGTCATGCCTTTTTGTCTCATTCTGTCGTGCCCATCATCTAGTCATGCCATGCTATTCATCTCATCATGCAGTGCCCCTTGTTATCATCCACCTCATGCACGAACCATCTGTTCCTCCTTATCACAAATCCTCCTTCTCTTCCCACCGCCACATTGATCTCCTCCCATTCCAGCATTACAGCAGAACCATAGCCTTTGCACCTGCAGACAACACCTTTCCTTTCTTTCACCATCTCCTGCATCAAAACCACGTGCTATCACCCACTCCCCCCTCCACCCCCACCCCTCCTCTTCATCTTCCCATCAGAGTCCCCTCCCCCACCACTCCAACCGTCACCCCACCCTCGTTTCTCCCCTACTCCCTCCTACCTCTCCTCCTTGGTGGTTCATGATGGCAGCAGAGAGGCGCCGCAACCCCATCCCTACCTTCCCTTTCCCTGCCCCACCTCCTCCCTCCCCCCCCACCCCCCATCTCCCCTCAGCTGCCTCGGCATATGGCATGGCGTGCAGGGAAGTGAGGTCGCCAGGGAGGTGATGCGTGGAGCACGGATGGAGCCAGTATGGCTGGAGCGGGGACTACCGTATCATCACTCCAAACAGCTCATGGTAGGAACGTCTCACATGTGGAGCCACATTAGCAGCCATCTGTGGGCTCTAGGCAGCTGTTCAAGCACACCTCATCCCATTGCTTGTTCCTGAAACGCAACCCATTGCTTATCTCCCTGCCCTTTACCCATTCCTGCCCTTCTCTTATGCACATCTGCCCTCCTTCCATGCACACACAGGCCCGCTTCTTCCTGATTCTCCGCTGCCGTCAGTCATATGCCAGCTACCCCAGCCAGCAGAATGCCCTCATAATGGCCTCTACCCTCAGCATTAGTCCTCCAGACCAGGAAGCCACTGTTGCTTGTATGGTGTCATCTTGGATTAAGGGTATTGAGATTTTGCTTTTTCCAAAGGTGCTAAAGGTGCCTTTTCCATGCTCTTGACTTGAACACTACATTAGTGACAATACCAGTTATTACTAAAAGTACATTACTGCTGCTGGAGCACATCCAAGATTTATATGGTACCTTTGCTAAAAACACTGTCAATCTTGCAGATCCTAGGTGAACAACATGTGCTTTACAAAAGCAAGGCAGCTTCAGTTTCCCCAATCATACCGTAAACCTCTCCACACAAAGGGCAGCCAAAAATCAAAAGCCAGAAACTCATGCGGCCTCCCTTCCCTTCATGCACAGAAGACCAAACAGCCATGTACCGGTATCAGCGTCTGCCCAATCCAACTGCAGTCTTCAAGTTCCACATGACCGCTCTTTAGTTCGCTGCAATGTGCAACAGCATTCCATGACCACTATTCAGCCCTGCACAACCACCGTTCCATGCCTTACTCCTCCACATGCATGCCTCCCCTCGTTCTTCACACCCCTTGCCTCCACGCCTCTCCTCGGCTTCCCCTAGACACTCACAGTCACAGCCAACTATTTCCTCACCTCACCTCCCTTTCCATCATCACTGCCTGCACCTTCCTAACCGCCAGACCACTTCAATATCCACAAGGCAATCCCCTTCTGCCGGCCAGAGAGATCTCAGCTTGGTCAGGGCAGTCAGCTGCTGCAGCCCATCATCCGTGACTGCCGTGCCAACCAGGTGAAGCCCCTCAAGCCCGGTCAGCTTCCCCACATGCACCATCCCAGCATCTGTCACACCCTGGCAATCCGAAAGGTGCAGCACTTTGAGAGAGGATAAAGCAGTTAAGTGCTGCAGCCCATCATCCGTGACTGTCGTCCTATTCAGAACAAGTTCTTGAAGTCCAGTCAGCCTTCCCACATGGACCATGCCAGCATTTGTCACTCCCTTACATCCAGAAAGCCATAGCCGATTGAGAGAGGAGAGAGCTGTCAAGTGCCGTAGACCAGCGACAGTCACCTTCGCCCGGTGGAGAAAGAGGCTGTCAAGACGGGTCAAGGACCCAATGCCTTCCAAGGCACAGTCCGAGACGACCGTGCCATCCAGGTCAAGCTCTGCCAGACGTGGCAGCTTGTAGAGGTGCTTGATGCCCTCTGCACTGAAGGATAAGGCAGAGGACAGGTTAACGCCCATCAAGTCGGTCCTGGTGGACACAAGGTGGAGCGCTGCATCTGCTAGGCCGTGGTCAAACCTCAGATCCAGATTGTTCTTCTTTGTTGCCGATTCGATTGCCTGGCTTATTTCCAGCTCAGCATTCAGCTTCAGATATTGTATCCTATACTTGTCCTTACAGGCTGTCAACTCCTGCACCTCCGTCCTCTCCTCTTCCGCAGCAGACTCCAATCTCATATCTCTCATATCATGTGTTCTCTTTCTACTCTTCCCTCCCAGCCCGCTTGCATCTGATGCCCCACTACTCTCAGCCAATTTCTCCGTGTGTTTTGCCAACTCCCCCTTCACGTCAGCCAACTCCCCCTTCACCTCAGCCAACTCCGCCTTGACTGCTGCCAACTCTCTCACCCTCTCCTTCATCGCAGCAGCAGCTGCCTCGTTCCTCTCCTCCGCAACGGCCAGCATGTGCCGCAACTCATTCACCTCCTCCTTGCGTGCAGCCAACTCCTCTATCACTGGTGCCAGCGCCGCCTTTGTGATCCACGGACTCAGCGCACTCAGCGCTCTCTCAGCAGCCATTTAGTCCACTCACTCCCCTCACACAGCCCACTTTTAATGACTGAGCCCTCCGTTCAACTGCCCTTTTCACTGCAGAGGGATGCGGAGCAGAGTCGTGCTGCCTGAGTAGGGCAGGGTTCAACGTCTTGAGGAAAAAGAAAGACGTATAAAGAAAAGAGGGACAAGGGGCATGGTCAGCCAACGAACAAGACCAATTACAGGGTCGTGAGGGATGAGGCAGTGATGTGAGAAAGAGAGCAGATCAGGAGCAGCAGAAGAGGGAGACTTGACTAGGACACAGAAGGCTGGTCCACAGAGGGCTGGTACGCGGGTGGAGTAGTGTCAGCCGCATAGAATGAGCTCAACGAGCAGAGCAGCATGAGTGACCTATGTACAACCGAGAGGAAACAATAAAGTTAAACGCAGTTGTTGGATAGAAAACGGGGAGACAGGAGCGCGGGAAGGCTAGACGAGTAAAAACAGGCAGATGTCTTAGCTTCGTTTAAGAGATAAAAACAGGTATTCATTGTGTGAATAGACAACAGACACTACACCAGAACTTGACATCAATAAAAGTGTGGGTGGGTGGGGAGGGCCACAAAAAGTGGAGGTAGAACCAACAGCACTTGCGCGAGAAGAATCTGGGAGGGAAAAAAGAGCATGCTGGGATGCTGCATGAGGATGCGGAGCAGCACTGACCACAAGGTGAAAATTTCAGCTCAGACTGACAAGAAGCCTGCCAGCTCTTCTCCTTACTGCAGCCAGGCAGGCGAGGGAAGCCGGAGCGAGCACACAATCAGGGGATTTGAAAGAAGAGGGCAAGGGAGAACAGAAATGGTAGTGAGGAAAGGGCTGAGCGATGGCTTGGTTGTTTGAGGTGCTCTTTGAGGCTTCCTGTGTCTACCCACAGCGAGCTGGTCCGAGACAATGGGACTGACCGGAACCACAGCAACTCGGGTCGCGCTGCTGGTTTTCTACAACACTGATTTTTTATTGATACTGACTGATGCATTCAGAACCTCATTCATTCATAGGTCCTCCGTGGGTTCAAGTTGGCTAGCATTGTGAAACATGCGAAATCCATTGACCTGATGGATTACACATGGAGGAGGTCGAGACAGGGCGTTTCACGAGTCACGAGTAACAAGCTAGGCCAAGTACAGGCTAGGTCGGTTACGACAAGAAAACAACCTAGGTCACTCAGAAGCTAGCTCGGTCACCAGATAGGTCACGCGTAGGCTAGGCCAGTATAGGCTAGGTTAGTTACAATCTGAGTCAGTTCGAGACCATGTTACTCATGTAGGTCACGTATTGACCAGGTCAAATATCGGATAGTTCACTCACTGGCTAGGTCACTGACTGGTTACTTCAGTAGAAACCTAGGTCACTCAAGCACCAACCCCCCCACCCCAGAAACCAGGTCAGTCAAAGCCTATGTCAGGCCAGAGGGTATGTTGGTCGCAGGCTAGACTAGCCCCAAGCTAGGTCATTCACAACATAAGTCAGCTGGAGACTGCGATGCAGCAGTCCTAAGGTAGATCAGTCACCGGCTAGGTCAATCACAAGCAAGGCCAAAAAGAAGTTTGGTCACTCAAAAGCTAAGCCAGTCACTCACAAGCTAGGTGAGTCACACACGCTAGGTCAGTCACACACGCTAGGTCAGTCACACACGCTAGGTCAGTCACACACGCTAGGTCAGTCACACACGCTAGGTCAGTCACACACGCTAGGTCAGTCACACACGCTAGGTCAGTCACACACGCTAGGTCAGTCACACACGCTAGGTCAGTCACACACGCTAGGTCAGTCACACACGCTAGGTCAGTCACACACGCTAGGTCAGTCACATACGCTAGGTCAGTCACACACGCTAGGTCAGTCACACACGCTAGGTCAGTCACACACGCTAGGTCAGTCACACACGCTAGGTCAGTCACACACGCTAGGTCAGTCACACACGCTAGGTCAGTCACACACGCTAGGTCAGTCACACACGCTAGGTCAGTCACACACACTAGGTCAGTCACACACGCTAGGGCCAGAGTTAGGTACACCAGAGATATAGTAATGTGCAAGTTTGTTCATTCAATAGCTAGGTTGGTCACTCTGTCTAGGACACTCACATAGCATTGATCTGTCAATAGACAGGCTCGCTTCAGACCTAACAGACGATACAACACTTCGTTCCCTCCAACATTCTCATATTTCATGATTCGTCGAGAAATGTTGAAAAAACAGAAACACTACTGCCAGATCGCCGACAATCAACTACACCTTGCCGCATCTACAAAACCCATTAATTCCTTCCCGCACAAATCTACTCTACTACACTCACTTCTCTCGCACACCTCCCTACAGCGAACCCCCTTCCGTTTATTCACACGCCTAGCCTATTTCAGTCCGCCATATCTCTATCCTAAACGCCTATCCATAACGAATCTGTATCTTGGTACTTCTTTGAATATCAGAACAAACAACTTTCCAGCATACTCCACTCAGACTAGGTCTGTCACTACCTTGGTCAGTTGGGGTCGACGTTGTTTCAAAGGCTAGGCAGTTACAGGCCAGGTCAGTCACAGGAAGTCCCTCAGAAGGTACGACAGCTACAGGCAAGTTCATCACAGCACAGGGTAGGTCAGTCACAGGGTAGGTCAGTCACAGGGTAGGTCAGTCACAGGGTAGGTAAGTCACATCGCACGCAAGGCCAAATAGAAGTTTGGTCACTCTAAAGCTAAGCCAGTCACTCACAAGCTAGGTCCGTCACTCACAGGCTAGGTCCGTCACTCACAGGCTAGCACAGCTGCGCAGCTCTAACGAATATGACTCTTTTCAAGCATAGCGCGAAACAACTGCATCAGATGTAATGGCGCAGATTCAAATGAGGACGTCAAGTATACGCGGATGTGTGATGATGCGACTTGCAGCAATCCGAAACCATTCAGTCATTGTTTTCGGGCAATGCATTAGTAAGTGGAACCCCGATTGGCGTAAGATTGCCCGAATAAGAGAATTGAGGCGTGGCGCCTTCACGCATGATTCTCAACTATTGACTGCATGATTCTTTTTGCACTAAGCTCTAAAAACAAATGGTGACGCCGGTTTGGAGGCAAGGGCGAGAGAAACTGAGGGTAGAGTGCATTTAAGGACTGAAAACCATCGGCGAAAGGAGGGAAGTGAAGAGAACGACTGCTATTCAACAGAATGATGATGAGGGTAGTGCGTTGTGCGAGCCGAGATGATAACGGGATGACGGGACCAGCCTTACCTCAGAATGGCTTTCTAGGGTTCCGCAGATTGAAACGTCGTGAGGCTAGGAGAGGCAATGACTCCTACTAATCAGAGTGCTCGTGCAACGTCGTAGTCACGCAGATGGCTAATAACGGTGCCACTAGTGGCTATGAAGAGCAGTTGAGTGATGTCGAATGGTTCTGCTCGTGACTATCCCAAAAAATTCCCCCGCGAATTTCAACCCCAAGGTCACATCAGTGTTACCCCGAACAGTGATACCCCATTGTCGCCAGCAGTGGACCCCTATGTTACCCCCGATCGAACTTCAGTTCGTTGTCACTCTGAGTGTTATGAGTTGTATGAAAGAAGAGTGCGCAGAATGCAATATCGCGGAAGTGATTACAACTATTGAGCAAACATCGGGGCCTAGGCATAATATAGCAAGGCTAGCTAAGCCCGAGGTCGCGGAGTCGTGCGAGGGTTGGGTGTGGGTTTGGGTTTGGAAAACCCGAAGGCGACGCGGAGGACGTTCGGGAGGCGAGGTCGTCGGACCGAGCCTGAACTCCGAAAGTTGGAAATGTACGCGTAAGCGGTGCCTCAGTAAGGAATTAGCAAAATTCCTTACACTACGCCCCCCTTCAAGAAAGGTGGTCAATATCAGGCACGTGTCGGCGAGAAAGATACTGCCGGAATACCGAGTGCCCTTGTAGTGAGTCAGCCGGGACCCACGTGTCGTCGTCACTTGTGCGAGCCACCCATCGTAGTAGAAAATCGACGTGGCGGCCGGCTGGGGTCGCACGAATGCGATGATTCAATATCTTCCAGGGTTGGAGCGTGGGATCTGCTACCGGTCGGACACTGGGCGCCTGGTGGGGTCGAGCGACGTCGGAGGACTGGGGTGCCACGTAGTGGCGAAGTAAACTGACGTGGAAAGCGTCGTGGATATGCCAGTCGTCCGGGAGGAGAAGTTTCGCAGTGACTGGTGTCAGCATTCGAATGATGCAGAAAGGTCTCACGTATCGAGGACGCAGTTTTGCGGGTTGGGGCAGTCTGAGGTTTTTGGTGTCCAGGAGAACCATCTGCCCCTCGCGGAAGGGTAAATTTCGTCGATGTTGGTCAGCGTAGCGGCTGGCGGTCGAATTCGCTTTTCGGATAAAATCAGCTGCCTTGGCACGCGCGTCCTGGAGTTCCGAAATAAACTGTTGTGACCTGGGTACCGGGTTGTCGGGAGTTGTCGATGAGGGTACCACTGGGTCTATCCCGTAATTCAGGTAGAAGGGTGATTGCTTGGTCGTTGCAGATGGGGCGTTATTGTACGCAAACTCGAGCATGGGAAGGGACTCTTCCCACTTGGTGATGTCCGTGCAGTTCGTGCGAATCAGCTGCTCCATCGTTTGGTTTGTCCTCTCTGTCTGTCCGTCGGTTTGCGGGTGGTAGTGTTAGAACATTATAGCTTACTTATTTGTGTAGGCTATAGTGGGGTATCCCATAGGGGGTACAACCCAATTAGGGTTTCCTATTTGTACTCACTTCGTTCATAGTCATTTCATTCTCGTTCTTTGTTTCACATGGAATCAGAGCAGGTTCCCTCCTAGGGACTGCTTCTAGGGCCCACCGAAGCGCGCCCCGAGGCGCGTTTTCCTTTTTTTTAGCGACCCGTCGTGTCGCCCCTAGCGGCCCGTCGCGCCGCCCTTCCTTAGCGGCCCCGCCGCCCTTCGATCGCGGCCCCGCCCCCCCTTCGATCGCGGCTCCGCTTGTCAGATTATTATAGCTGATGCATGTTTGTAGGCTATAGTG